ATCTTCAGGAACAAGTGGAAGCGGCAACGTCAGCTGTTGCTTGGTTGATCACCGATATGCTGAAAGAAGGAGAGGGGGTGAACATAATATGTAGAGTGTCTTAATGACATCGGGCGCTTACTTTGCAATGTCGATTATTCAGAATCTGTATCGCGAAGAGAACTATTAGCATTAAACATAACAAGGATCTAAGGATACTTGACCAGACACCTATTGGAGAATGGCTGTTTGGACAAGATTTAGATAGTACTATTAACACGTTTTTCGCCCAAATGAGCAAAAAATATTCTACCCCCCCAAAACATAATTTTTTTAGGAAATACTTAATTTTTACTCTGGATATGATGTGCTGGCTGTTATCAGTTAGTCTTAGAAATGTCCCAAAAATATTTTGAAAATGACTCCCGACTTATGGGTTTCAGATCCCCCGATCACTGAGCGCCGCGAAACCCAAATGTCGGGTGTCATTTTTTCAAGTTCTAACAAGTATGCTAGAAATGCAGATGCTTCGTGTAGTTTCCAGTCCAATTGTTGAGAGCGCGCCGAATAGTAAGGCTTGGTTGTGAATAAAATAATTTGAGTTGTGATTTGTGTACTATAAAATAAAATGACGGGCACATATGAAAAGGAGCAAATGAGACTTATGAAATTGTGGAATGAGCTGCTATCAGACGAAGAGGAACAAGACCTTCAGAGCTCATGGACAATTTTTCAGACGATTACTTGCCCAGTCATTCATCAGATGTTGACTCCGACACAAGCTCATTGCAATTGAAACCCAGGACGAAGAAAGCTAAAAGGTAAATTATTATAATTATTTTGTGATCAACTAAATTTTGCTTTCTTGTTCAAAAGTGTGGTTTCCTTCATAATGCTCCCAACTAAGACTCAATCGAAGAAATGATGATGTCTTCAGATGAACAACCCAGTACTGACATTATCCCCAGTGACTTTGCAACAGCTGTAAATTCCTCGAGGTCCAATATAATTCATCCTAGTACAGATAGTGAAACTGACGATTCTTGGCAGGAAATAAATCCTAGAAAAAAGACTAAAAGGTAAATATAACCTTATTGTGGACAAGAAAATGTGCTGACTTTTTGTCCTGTGCTTAGTGCATCAGTCAATTATTAATATTTTGAAAAATATACATACATAATCTTTTCTTTCAGATCAAACAATGTTGAAATGCCTACGGATCCTAGGGAGCAATCATCGCGTCCCAACCTTCTACTTCTAGAGATGCAAACATCATACCAAAAGTCAGTCCACTATGATGAAGTCATCGATGAAGTTATAGCTCAGTTTGTCTTATAGATAGTGAAAATAAAGCGATGAAGTCCTCTGCATGATGAACTACACTGGATTCCTTCGACCGGCTCTCATTTAAAAAAGTTCATTTTTGATTTAGATCATGTCGGTGTTACTACACAGATATCTGAGGACTTTATTACCAAGGCACCGTATGTTTTTTCAAGATATTTCTCAGTGACGAACTTCTGGATTTGATTGTACTAGAGACCAATAGATATGCTAACAATGCAAAACAAGCCTTGGCAGTAAACTCGCGCTTACACAGGTGGAGAGATCAAACAGGGTTGAAATTACGACATTTTTTGGAATTGTAATGTATATGGGTCTAGCAAGGTTGCCGAAAATGACGGATTACTGGTCCAAGAATCCCTTAATAGCAATAAGGTGTCGTGTAAAATGTCCAGAAATCGATTTGAATTACTCCTCAGAGTGCTACATTTCAACGATAACGAAATATTGATAAAAATGACCGACTGGGAAAACTAAGCCCACTATTAGAAAACTTGACCAATAAATTCAAAGAGGTTTACGTTCCGGAGAAATCTGTCTGCATAGATGAAACACTAGTACCATTCAGAGGCAGGCTGTCATTCAGGCAGTATATCAAAAATAAGCGGTTCAAATTCGGGATAAAACTGTACAAATTATGTTGTAAGGATGGCTATACATACGATATCAAAGTATACTGCGGAAAAATAAAAATTCAGAGAAACCTGCTACAGTTTCGACTGTTTTGTCACTAATGGAGCCACTTTTAGACCACGGACGGATCTTATACACCGACAACTACTACACTAGTGTCGCCTTGGCCCATGAGTTACAAAAGCGTAAGACTCATCTTGTGGGTACCCTAAGAAAAAATAGAAAAAAACAACCCAAAAAATGTGGAGGCTCAAAAATTGAATAAAGGAGAAATTTGCGCAAAGGAAAGTAATACAGGGGTGGTTGTTTTGAAATGGCACGATAAACGTGATATTCCTTGTCTGAGCACTGTACATACTGAGACAACCACTAAATATACACGGAGAGGAACAGAAATAGAAAAACCATCTCTTGTTGTTGACTACAACTCGTGTAAGTCTTTCATAGATCTATCAGATCAGCTGAAATCATATTGTTCGCCTTTACGTAAAGGCGTACAGTGGTAGGAAATTAGCCTTTGAAATATTACTTGGCTCAGCTGTAGTCAACGCCTTCATATTGTATAAACTGTGACGAAAGCGAAAATATCAATAACAGAATTCAGACAGAAAATTGCCCTTGGTATGTTACAATCGAAGAAGTGACTGTCAGGGAGAGACAGAAAATGAAAACAGAAAGCATGTTTTGCAGGAAGTTGCTTCAAAAGACCGACGAAAATGTGTAGCATGTTATGCGAAAATAAGTATTGAAGAAGGCAGGAAAGCCGCTCAGAAGAAGGGACCTAAGTCAAAAATTTTTTGCGATATATGCAATAAGTTCTACTGTTTGTCATGTTTTTTTGATTACATAATTATTCTTTATAACTAGTTGCAACAATTTGCTATGTTTTTGATATGCAATTATTATTTATAACTAGTAGGCACTGTTTGTATTACATCGCTAAAATAAAAAAGTGTTTTTATAACTGCATAGCATATTAGAAGAAATCTTCACCGATAAAGAAAATATCGTGGAAGTGCCGGGCCATTCAGCAATATTACCCGCCAGGCCCCTCTATAACGTTCTCATATAAGTTAATGCGTTTTGAAGCACGGCAGTTGGGTTACAGGCTTTAATGTACACGATAGTAATGAAGGTCGACATACAGTTGTCGGAGCCCAATCGACCACAAGTTCTGAAACCCCAGTGTCAGGTGTCATGGCGGTTAACGTGTTGATCTCTAGAGAATTAAAACATCTTGCCTTAAATAAGCCACAACCTGTTCTTATTTTACCTTTTTTCAATACTGATTCTGAGGTTTGCGTGGCTAGAGCCTTAATCCAGTATTTTAAATAAAAACAAGGGATTTAAGAGGTTCTTGTCAAATTCTTTGATTACATATAAAAAACCTTATCGCCGAGCATCACCGCAGACGATTAGTAGTTGGATAAAGAACGTTTAGAAAAAAGTGGGGTGAACATAAACCAGTTTAAGCCTCTAAGTACAAGGCACGCTGCGACGTCCCTAGCCGCTCGTGCGGGGGTGAGTTTTGACGTCATTAGACTGGCAGCAGGGTGGTCGAAGAACTCGACGAAACGTTTGCGAACTTTTATCACAGACCAATTATTGATAATACTGAATTTGCTAGGTATGTATTAGGCACGGATAAAAGATCTGTATAAGATTATTTAAAAATATTTTGTTCATTAAGGCTGTTTGCTCGAATATTCGTTCAGTATCTTGTGAAGAATAAGGGTAAACGTCCCTATTTTCGGCACTAACCCTTTTATCGGCACAAATTCTACATAATCCGAAAATAAGATTTCTATCGCAAGATTGTTGGATAAAACTATTTCACCAATTTCTGCGAACCTTTGTCTACGCCTCTGCAAGAACCGAATGACTGTCGGCCAATTTCGGTAATAACCATAGTCAAAATATAGTGGTCAGTTCGCGCAAACTCTTGTCTGAAGTGTTTCTTGTTGCAAGTGTTAAGAAACAGGGAAGCCATTATCGTGTTGTAATTGTTGATAGACGTTCGTGTAAATGTTTAAGTTTTATATGTTTAGGAATTATTATTTTTGTTATTTGCTAGTAAAAACCTGTTTTTCTTTGTGGTTTTTTTGTGTATTTTACGGGTGCCGATAATGGGTACGTAAACAATAATTGATGATCTAATCTTCGGCAGATATTCCGATAATTGGTTATACGTATTGGACTGGATTTAGGTCAATTTTAGCTTCAGCTCTTAATTTATCATGAAAAATGTTTGGTTATTATATGCAGCATACATCGAAGAGATGTCACACCAATTTTCGGCACTCTATATATCTACTAGAATTAGTTTAAATTTGAGGTTTAATAAAAGTGCCGATAATATGAACATAAGGTGTCGATAATTGGAGATTCTTTTTTTCAGATTAAAATTACATCACAATGGACAAGCTTAAACGACTTCAATATTCTACCGAAGATATAATAAAGTTGTTAACGCTGTTCAGTCAAGAATGCCATTTAAAGCAGCTAGCAAGTTATACAACGTACCCAGATCGACCCTACAGGACAAAGTAAAAGGAAGAACACTTTAGACAAGAAATGTGGACCAGGGACCATACTAACCAGGGAAGAAGAAAATTTACTGGTGGAATGGTTATTTCGGGTTGCAGCATATGGATTTCCAGCAACAAAAACATAGTTGTTGGATAGTGTTCAGCTCTTGCTTAAAGAATTGGATAGGCCTAATAATTTCGCAGATGGCAGGCCTGGACGGAAATGGTACGAATTATTTTTAAAAAGGCACCCAGAACTGGCTCCAAGGATTTCCCAAAACCTCACTTGTGCTAGAAACAGCCTAACAGAAAACCGCATTCGTCAGTGGTTTATAGAAGTAGGGACCTTCTTAGAAAACACAAACAATCTTAACATAACTTTTGATTCCGGTCGTGTATTCAATTGTGATGAAACGGTTTTTTTTCCTCACACCCAAAGGAGACAAGGTTTTAGTTAAAAAGGGGGATAGAACAGTTTACTCATTTGTGAGCAATAATGAGAAGGAATGTCTGACGACTTTGGTTACGTGTATTGCCTCCGGTCAAATTTTACCGCCAATGATCGTTTATAATTACAAAAGAATTCCCAACTCCGTTGTCGAAAAAGTTCCAGGAAACTGGGGTATCGGAAAGTCTGAAAATGGGTGGATGACTGGTGAAACCTTTATCAGTACATCGCTAATATATTCACCCTTGGTTGTAGTTGCTCAAAAAGTTCATTTCCGGTTATATTGTTTTTCGGATGGACATACATCCCACCTAACTATGGCCCTCAGTAAATTTTGTAAGTAAAAATGATATTACCCTTATAGCTCTTTGCCCAAATGCTTACACATATTTCACAACCTCTAGATGTGGCCGTTATTTCGACCATTAAAGCTTGAATGGAAAAAGAGCGTGCACCGATGGAGAATGGAGAACCAGGGCAGAAGATTACCAAAGACTTCTTTGCGCCCATCTTGGAATGCACTTTTCAAAAAATGACAAATATTCCCGATATAATTAAGAATGGCTTCAGGACCTGCGGACTTGTTCCTTTTAATGTTGATAATATAAAATTTTCAAAATATTTTAAAACGAAATCGCAGCACAAAAACAACAAGAGAACCATGAACAGCCTAAAGAAGCACAAGCAGTCCTAAGATGTGTAGAGCAATACATCTCAAAAGAGACTCTTAGATTATTTCTGCTTTCCGGTCCACTTTGGGAAGGCCCAGTAGAGCACACTAGCCCTGTTTTCACTCTGGAAGAAAATGAAGATCAAAACAGTGAATAGCAACAACAATGCAATAGAGGTTTCTGATCTAGTACAAAGTGAAAATGAAATTCAAGAAGACTTTATTATGGAAGATACATTTACAGACGTAGAAATGCACAACGAAATAGATGCCACAGAAATCAATGAAAATAATAAATTGATAAATGATAAATTAGAAGTAGATATTGAATTTCAGGCAGGCTCAAATGTCAAAGGCGCATTTGCTGAGAAGGCAAACAATAACAATGAAATTGATGTTACAGGAATTATTGACTGTACAAATTTATCCCTTTCGATAGGCATTGCTGAAGATATTCCCATAATAATTTCAAATACACCCAGCAAAGCACAACATGATGTACCTGTAGAAAACTCTTTAGAGCAGCATTCTTCACATTTGGAACTAAACTTTCAACAAATGGGAACTACTCAAATTAAAACGACACCGACACCTAAAATTGAATCGGATTCTACAGGCGAACCAAATTCGAATTCAGAAAAAGAGTTGTCGCCTTTACAACAAAATGTTTTAGATGAATCTATTCCGACTCCATTCAAACAAACTTTATTTTGGC